TGAAAATATTACTATTTATCTCAACTCTATCAAAAGAGAGAGAAAAAGAAATGCATTCACAGAAATTTTATTATAGTATGTTAATTACTGTATTGTATCATTAGCTGGCAATGTCTTACTGTGTCTCGTTTATAAATCAAACATCATCATAGGTAACGCACACACAGGAAAAAACACATGCTGCACTGGGCGCAGGACTAGCTGGGTTTCAGGTATCCACTTGGGGTCCTGAAGTGTCTCCTATGGAGAAGGGGGCTACAGTGCCGCCAGCTACCAGGGTTTTGTTCTCAGGTGAGCTCTTATCTTTTTCCTTATAATTTGCTCCTCTCTTCTTATTTCTTGGTCTCTGGAGCAAAAAAAGAATAAGCCTATAATTTTTTTGATAGTTTTTTAAGGACTTGAAAAGGGCAAAATGTCCCTAAGCAAGTGTTCTTCACCAGGCTAATCCCCTGGAATATTTCAAATATTCATCTTATCAGACTGTCTCAGTGCGGCACCCAACAGCGCCTCAGGACACACTCCAATTCCTCGGTGCACCTTTTCAACTGGGTTTAGTTTCTATTAAAAGAATATTTTTTCACATCTAATTTCTTTTTTCTTTTTCCCACATCTAATTTCTTCTGGGCTTGATCTTTTTTGCTTTTCCTTTCGAAACGGAGAAAAAAAAAAAAACTTGCTCTCCAGCCACTCTGTGGGGATGAGGATATTTTGCGAGCTGCTACTAAATGATCAGTCTTTGCGATGGTGGATGGTGTCGCAGTCAGTGTGTGTGTGTGGGGGGGGGGATCAAGCACTGTTTACACTGTTTCAGAGGTACAACCAGAGGGACCAGGCTCCAGCAGCTGCAAAGATTTTATAACACGCGCACCTTTTACCAGTGGAAAGAGGAATCGCCACGCCCCTGGGAGGCTCACTAGGGAAGAAGAAAGGTTCTGACACAGTGTGCACGGGTGTCTGCAGCCTAGAAGGGAACACTACGTGGAAGTCCCTGGCTCTCGGCATCAGTGGGCCAAAGTGGGAACAGCCCTGAAGGCGGAGTGGGGGATGGGGGAAGTGTGGCGGTGGGTGGGGGAGACTCGGGGCCTTTGGACAAGGTTCAACTGAAGAGCAAGAGGAGCAAAAGCTGACTCTGCTCTCTCCCTGTTGACCCAGCCTCCACTGATGAGGGAGGGATTCCCAAAAGTAATGGGGAAGAACAAGTGGACAGCGGAGGGTTCAAAATGAGAGAACAGAGGGGCCTTAAGGGAAGCTAATTCCGGGATGGGACAAAAAGCATCACAAAAGACACCGTGTTGGAGGGTAGGGATAGAAGCCCTGGAAGACACTCACGCAATGCAGTCCCTCATATGTGCCGGACACTGATTTCCAGTGCAGAAAAAGTCTTACCTTTTGGAAGTGCAGGTACAAAAAAGTCTTACCTTTTGGAAGTGCAGGTACAAGCTTAGCATCGGGTCCTCTTCTGTGGTTAGCAAGTTGTTCTTTATTCTCAAGGAAGAACTCTTTCTGAAAGCTAAAAGGAATGCCATTAATGAAGCGTTGAAATTCAATTTAAATCAAGGTATAGGATAGCAAGGGGGAAAAGGCAGAAAGTTAAAAAAAGTCATTGTTTTCAAGTAGTTAAATGCGTGCATGGACATATGGAATAAACAGTTGTATTTGGGGAAGTGTATTAGTAACTGTTTGCAGTTACTGTGTATGATTGTGACTTTTGTGGAGCTAAGTAATGACATCAGGTCAGCAGGGCGTGGTGTGCAGGGAACAGGCTGGACCAGGGAGTCCTAGCTCTGTGTTTAGAAGGACATCTCCCCTGGACCCCAGAGGCACCATGCAAACTTGGATGACTCGCCCAGCCTCTCTGCACTACATTTCCCTCCTCAGGAAGCAGCATCTCATTGAGGTGATCTCTAGGTCGTGTTCTAGTACAACAAATATATGAGAGTAGCACATGCTTTCAAAAAGCCAAGAAATCAAAGCACAGTCAAGCAGTATGAAAAGGCTCATGAAGGCTGATCGTGGGCTAACAGAGGAAATGAAAAGGAGAATAAAGGAATCCAGCGCTTCTTGTGTACTTTCTCCCTCTACCAAGCATCTTCCACGGGCCACCTCCGTTTTCTCCACAGGCCCCATGAGATGCCTCACTCAGATGTTTTACAATTGGCTCTGCGCTTCTAGTCACTCAAAAAGCAGCTCCCTTGCAGTAGTTGCTGGTGGCGTAAACACTTCCACCACAGCAGACTACTTCATGCTTCTTCAGGGCTCACTCAACTCCACACTGGGGGAGAAGCATGCGCGGGAGACAGGAGGGTGTGAGCCTACTGTAGCTCAGCTCCAAGTTTACATGGCATGTCCAGGGACACAGCTACAGGAGGGGGAGATCAGCTCCTGTTCCAACCCTGTCCTCTGTGCCAGTGGCCCCAAGACCCCTGGATACACAATGCCTGGGTCTCATATGGTGACCTGCTGGACTCAGGCAAGGTAGAGGAGCCTGTGGCCTTGAAGGAAAAAAAGAAACCCAGCAGAAGAGAAACTTGCTGTTGCCCAACACAACAGTTACTTCCAAGAAGAGGGAAATAATAGGCCTGAAGATGCATCTGGTGTGAAACTGACCTGGCTCTTTCTATGGCATGGATGAGGGTCCATATGTAAAGGTTCAGTCCCTAGGGCAGCACTGTTGGAAGGGGCTGTGGATTGCAGGAGGCGATCCTTACAGGAGGTCCTTAGGTGACTGAGGTGCACTGGGAGGGGCCTGTGGGACACCTATCTCTTCTCAGCCTGAGATTGCTCTTACGCATGGTCCTGCCGGCATGTGCTGCCCTCACCATAGGCCCAAAGCAATGGGTCTGGCTTGGAATCTTCAGAATTGTAAGCCAAAATAAGCTTCTCTCTACCTCTTACAAGGCTGTGGCAGGGATTTTGTTGTAGCAAGGTGAGGCTGACTATACCCATGCACCTGTAACCTCTGTCTGTGTGTCTGTCTGTGTTTGTGTGTAAGGGTGGGAGGGTGGGTGTTGTGCTTCCCTGGAGTCTGAAAAGAGATGGAGAAAGTTGCTGTGCCCGTACTCATACTACGTGAGTGGGTCACAAGAAGAAGGCACACTCCATACCCAAATTAAATTTGAAGCAACTTCTAATTTTCCCAAAACACTGTAACTATCCACCCTTGGTAGAACTAAGCCTATTGGACACCTTAGTAACTCTATGTAAGTGCAGTGGAGCTTTATGGTTATAAATACGTATCATGAGGCCAGTGAGATAGCTCAGTGGTCTAAAGCACCTGCTTAGACAACTGTGCGGGGAATACGGTTCCACCCCTGGCACCACATGCCGTGCCAGTCCTGCCTGCCCCCAGGGTGAACTGAGCCAGCCAAAATAAATTAATAAAAAAATACGAAACATGTACCTACCAATGTACTAAGAATAAATGAACATTATGAAGCAATGAAAATCCTAGGATCCTATTTACTCAAACTTAAGTGTCAGCACCAGTGTCTCCATAGTGAATTGTGAGGCAGTGAGGATTATTTTGTATTTTATTCAAATGTGTGATTTTGAATAAATCTTAAAAAAAAGCCTGCACAAATATACCCTACTTAAGTAACATCATGCTATTTTTAATTAAGAATTTAATTCTTAAATATTTTTGATGAAGCATTATTTTGTGGTGCAAAGACTCAAGCCTAGGTCCTCCCACGTGTTACACACACGCTCTACTGCTGAGTTACATCCCAGCCTGAGAAACACCAAGAAATATGTTACATGAATAACTGATTGTTATGAAATGCTCCAAATGCATACTATAATTTGCCCCAAGGTGTTTTATGTATATGCTTTATACACTGCTAGTATGATAGCCAGGAATAAAAAAATTCACAAATTTGGAGAATAATTAGAAGGGCATGTATTCAGTAACATCAGTTATAGCTATCCCAACCTTCCCTTCCCTTCTCTTCCCTTCCTTTCCCTACCCTACTCTTCCTCACATATAGACTAACATATACTTGCCATTCTACCTTTTTACATTTGCTCACCTTGTACACATGTACGAAATATTAGCATATCTGCATATAGAGTAAACTCTCCTAAAATCCACAGCTTCGCTTGTACAAGCTAGAATCCACAGAGCTGTTAACATTTTGCTCCTGCGCCTCTTGCCTCTCTCCCTCACTCCTGCCAGAGGCCTGACAACTTCTGAGGAAGCAGATGGGCAGACAGGAAGAATGAACTGACTGGGCAGGAGCCCGTGGCTCGGGCTCAAGAGGATCCCCAAAGCTGTGGTTAATGCAAGACCCCCAACTCCACAGGACACTGGATTCTTATCAAGTATCACATCTCTTCCCCTGGACTTTCTACACACAAAGGCACCGAGCAAAAGTGAAAATACAGGCAAGACACCCAGTAAGGAATTCTGCTCCAGCAGCCAGTTAGGAACCCCTTGTGTCATCTGTGGAGGATGAGACACCCCTCCTTTGTAAGTCATCAGAGGTACCAAGGGGGAGTCCATGCTCCACTCTTGGGGCTGCAAGCTGCACACCCTGAGCTCTGAGGCAGGGTCCTGCCCTTCCTGGTGTCCCCCTCCCATCTCTGGGATGAGGCTCCCTGTATGGACAACCTCTGTGGGCCTTGGTGCACTGCTGCAGCTCAACTGAAAGCGACAGCCTGGAATCCAGCATGAAACCATTTCCCTTTTTGTAGCTCATTAGTACAGATTCCTTTCCATACCATAATTTAAAAATTGACATTAAGAAATATTTCATATTTTTATCCAACTATATCTTGGAAATAGCACTCATTTGTTATGACTTAGTTTTTAATGTAGCCTTCCTTCCTCTGTTTCAGTCATCTGAAAAGACCCTGCCCTCTGTTTCCAGGGTGCTTTGTTTCTTTCTTCTTTTTAAAATGTGTCCCATTAACCTACTTAAATGCCCAGAAGTAGCAACAAAGGGGAATTTTATTAAAGGGAGTGCAGGATGATCTGCTGTTATTGTCTGTTCTTTACAGTGTGCATGACACTGCTGTTGCAACTCCCAGGTACCTATGGGGTGGAAGGCTACCGTACACTCTTGTTTGTCCTGGTACTGAAGTGTGAATAGTAAGATGAGGGAGGTGAAATCCCATGACTTCATATTTCTATCTCTCTGGGTCTGGAAGATGAGGGTCCTTCCCCACAGGCTTAGACTTCCAGCGCAACGCACACTTAGAAAGGTACCCATTAGTTCCCATGAATGGCATTAACTACAAAGTCAATCTTCAAGTCAACTAGCTTCATACTACATAATATAATAGGAAGTGTTAGGGAGTAAACCTAGGGCCTTATACATGCTAGGGTACCACAGTACTCTATGAGTGAGTTACACGGCCAGCCACTACTTCATAGTTCAGTGATTAAAACTTTAGGAAGAAAACACATTGCCAAACACTTAAACTCATGAATTAGGAATTTAAGAGACTGTGGCTGGTGGAGTGGCTCAGTGGTAAAGCAAGTGCCCAGTGTGAGCCAGGCCCTGGGTCTGATCCCCAGCACACCTGGAGGGAGAAAGACATTTAGGGGGATCATTTTTAAACCTACTACAAATCTCCAAAATGTAGTATTCCTTGAACAAAGGCTACTTTACCTTGGAACTTTCCTTTGATGTGGGAATCCAATGAAGCTTAAGTTTTTCTTGTTGAAATCTAAGAAAAAAGAAATAATGTAACATTGAAACAGCTACATGGCAACTTAAAAAAAAAATCCAATGGGAAAACATTCTTCAAGCTCTCCTTGAACAAAAAAATTAAGAAAAAAGAAAACCATTAACCAGGCAAATAAAAGTGCAAAATTGACAAATTCTAAGAATCAAATTCTGTATACAAATTTTAAATAGGCAAGTGTTTTGTTTTTCTCTTCTGAAGGGAATAACCAGTTTGGGTCAGGGGAACCAGAAACACTGAAAGTATTCTTCCTGACACCATTTGGGATTTCCTTAAAAATGGGGTGGTGGTGGGGGTGGAGAACTAGAGAAACGTCAGCTGTGCTTTACTGCTTTCATTAAAAGCTAAACAACGGCACGTCAAAATAACCACTCCTTTCTTTTTGAAGATGAGATATATTACGTAAAGACAGCTGATAACAATTCCACACAAGAAAAACACATATCCCGAGTGAACGGGTTAATCAAAACCAGGCAGAGACAAAATTTATAACCAGCCTAATGGCAAGTAATCTGTTTTACAGTTTCTGGCGTAGGAAGCATTTGTCCACCCCCAAGCCACAAGCCGCTTTCTCACAGAAACTTCTTTGCGGTCCCTTTTACTATTTACTATTTAGGGGCAGAACCCTGAGGAATAAAAGGAATCAAGTACACCACACGCTGGTATTCATTACCTATCACTAAAACACATCTTTAATCCTGGAATTTGGAAATTTGGGCCAGTTAGAGAAATACAATAAAATGAAAGGCAGTATGCTAATGAAATAGCCAGGATTTTCTTCTAATCATACAAGCATTCCATTAACTATTTAAAGAAAGAGAATTCAGTTCACAAAGCTATCAAATAGTGAAGAAGGAAGTTCCTGAAATCAGAGACTGGAGTGTCCTAGCTGCTTTTGAATAACGCGTCTGTGCTGTATCGTATTTTTGATACTTAACAGTTAAGTTTCAAGTCAGACATTGAAAATAACCTTAGCATTTTATTTCTGTTCAACACTGAGTAGGCAATACTACTTCAGCAACTGAATTGAAAGCATACATCTTCTTCCGTGCTGGGAAGGAAGCCATTGAAAAGACAATATTTTGTTCCAAACTGTCTCATATGAAGAGTTAATAAAAAGAGACACACTCACCACTGCCTATGAGATATAATTTAGTACAATAATTTAGTATAATATAAGATAGCATTTGGTTTAGAAAAATATTTTGGCTACAGTGCAGCACATCCAGAATTTGATCCAAAGTCTGGCATTCCAATTTAACGTGCAATTTTTCTTATATAAAAATTTGACTGGGTCAGCAGAATCTCTAGCTCACTCATGGAGAAACGTACGTTTTCAGCAACTACAAGATAAGCTCATTTATAAACTCATCCAGATATTTAAAGTCTCCTATGAGAAGACGGCATCGCTAAACGAGCACCTGAAAAAGCAGGTTAAACAGAGGATCCAAGCAAGGCAAATGTGCTGCACAATGAACCCAGGGATTCATGGTATCTCTCTTGCCTTACCTTGTTTCTCAGAGAACTTGAACGCTCCCAGACAGCTTGAAATTCCTGGGCTTCTGAGCATGGCTGCACAAGGTTTGGAAACAACTACAACTAATGCTCAACCAGCAACGACCTTGGGCCGGTCTAAGCAAAACTGGGTTGAGATTGCTCAGAGTGCAGGCGAGAGCGACCAGGCACTCATGTCCTTGGATGCATGGTGAATGTAAAGGAAAAGGGCTGCAGGCTGGAGCAAATCACGCTCCTTAATCAGATTAAAGCAGAAATTAGGCCTGGAGATGCTGGAGCATCCCGAGTTCCAGAGATGGGACAGCTACGAGGTTGCCACTGTGGGGTCGTGGCCCTGTCACAGCGCACGCTCTGGCTGTGTGGACAATGTTACCACCTAACCACCACCGCGCGGGTGTCGGAAACAACTCCTCCTGCCCCAAGAATGAAGGAACAAACAAACAAAAGGAAAACACAGAGAGGATCTCAATGTGTAGGCAAGAAGGTGGAGCCGCTTCAGTATTCCCAAGCTGTGCCACGCTTGGCTTTGGCTAAGTTAAATGAAATATTTTACCTAATGGTGAGCCAACAGTTATAGTAAAAGTGAAGATTTATGAATACCAGATGAGGGAAGCAGTGGGAAAAGCAAGGGCAGATATTATGAGAGGTCGAAAAATTTTAATTTGAGACAGAAGCTGTTAAACTATACCAAGAAGACTGTACTTCATTTATGATCAACTGCAACAGGGACTCAGGCAGGGATAATTCAATCCAAAGAGCAACCACAATCATTAGAGACTTAATGATATCATAGATAAAAGGTACTGAGGAGAACCAAGGAAATGGGCTCAGAAGATTACAAGATTGGGCTGCAGAGGTATCCTGCCTGTGGAGAGACAACTGGCTGAGGTAACCTGGGGAGGCTACCTGGGAGACAACTGGCTAATGATAGAGCCACAGGACTTCAGGTGGGTGGATGAGGATTAGGATGTAGTTCACCCCCACCCTGAGGGGGGACCCAGAATTTCTCTGTGTTTTCATCTTTGGTTCTGTATGCTGGATCTGGCACATAGTAGGTGTGCAGCAGATGTTTGCTGAACAGCATGCAAATCACGGGATGATCTTTCCTGAAAGTTACAGTTAGCATTTTAAAATGACTGTGTGGATTTCATATGCTGTGTTCAAACCAGATTGACTTAGATGGAGTTTTAAATATAAACCCAGTTGGAAAATAGAGACTTCTGTGTCGAATGAATTAATATGTGTAAACACATAAGGCGACCTCGGCCCTGGTTACTACAAGCGTTGGCATCAGCATTCTCCATACTTCTGGTGACCTCTTATAAAACCAAAAGAAATATAGCAAGTAGGGCTGTAAAAAGCCACAGCCAGGAACAGCAGCAGGACTGTGGAAAGCATGGGGGAAACTTTATTATAAGATCACAGATAATCAGAAACAAAAAGGAAAAGGTGTGGGAAGGAGGACCAAAAGGGGAGGAAACAGTGAATACTAAGATGCACTGCAATAGTATCTAGGTTAATAAATATTTCTTCATAAAGAACTTAAATTTATAAAACACAGCATCATTTACTATCACCATGTATGTTTCTGGAAAGTACCCCCTGTAAAATGACTCAATTATAATTATCCTAAGAGATTCTAAATGATCCTTTTGAATCCTTATTAAGGAATGTCTATTCTAATTTTTAAAACTAAAATTCTGATCCACAATGCAAAGAGTTTGGATATTCTCTTCACCATAATCAATACTTGTGACCAATACAGTGTCAACAATGTGTATGGAATATTCAGTTTTCTTGTGTGGAAACTGCCCTGGGTGGGATGTTTGAAGCATGACTTCTATGGTAGACGTATGTGTACACTCTAGTTCACATAGGTTATTTCAGATGTTGCCTTTTAGATTTTGTAAACAAGTAAACAGCTGATAGGAAAATGCTGACATTTATTCTATTCATTTCATATTTGATGTTTTATTTTATTAATATCTTATTTTCCTGCTAAGTGAAAACTGTACAACACAACAGGCAGTCTTGACAAAACAGGAAGAGAGGTGACAAGAATGGCTTCCCACGTAGGAAAGGAAAGCGAAGCACTTGCGTTGTCACCATAATCAAGATGTGTGCATGGAATATGCGGTTGTCATGCGGGAAGACTGCTCGGGGTGTGACAATTGAAGCCAAGATCATTTTTGTTGCAGACTTTTGTTTGCATTTACATTTTAGTTCACATATGAATTTATTTTTTTTTAGGTTTTGTAAGCAAGTATACAGCTGATGTGAAAACGTTGTTGTTTATTCTAGACGTGCAATACATATGAAGAATTTAATACTTTGTTATTGATATTTTATGTTCCTATGAACTACATATTATATAATATATGCATAGCCATGTTTATAGAGGCATGATTCATAATAGCTAAATCTTAGAAACAACCTACATGTCCATCACCACATGAATAGATAAAGAAAATGTGGTACTTATACACAATGGAGCACTACGCAGTTTTTAAGGAAGTCCTTTGTCGGGAAATGGATGCACCTGGAGACCAGGAGGTTCAGTGAAATGAGTCAGGCACACAGGCTTTCACATGGCATGATTTCTCTTAAACGAGCAATGCAAAAATTAAACAAAGAGGAAAAATAAAAAGTAGACAACAGGAAATGGGGAGCTAGATCTTTTGCCAAAAGGAAAGGGACCAAAAGAGGGACAGAGGGCAGAGGGAAAAGAAGTAGAAAAACAAAGAATCAAGATATGCCATGTATATGTTCCCAATCTCTAAGAGGACGTGACCATTCTGTATTATAAATATGTACTAATAAAAATAAAAGGACTGAAAAAATGGGCACAAGAATATAGCACCATGCGTTTATTTATAAATTTATAAAGCTGGAGTCAGTCTACCTAGCGGGACACATGGAAGATCGCATAAGTAATCTGCACAGAAAAACCAGGTTGGAAACTCAATTACCAATTTGGAAAATGTTTCATGCTGGGTTATGCTGGACAGGAATGAACGCTTCATTTACAAAGACAGTAAAAAGATCAGCACATTATCTCATGACTCACGAGAGAACTCTGCTCATGCTTTTTTCTATTTTCTAAAGTAACCAAGTAAGCACGATTTATTTCTGTAGTTACCAAAACAATAGCGCAAACGAGGATGTAAGCAATAAGACCTCTTACAGTCCCCAGGGCTTAGACTTAAACTAAACATCCAGGGCGAACTCATGGTTGTGAGTGGAGCTGTGCCAGCGGACCTAAGGCCTCCGGCACGCTGGCCATTTCTACAGTTATGCTTTTTCTTGGCTACCAGTCTAGGAGCTAATGCTGCTAAAACATCCCCCAAGCCCTGACAACCACAGCACAGTAGTTTTCAGACTGCACACCAGGTGGGCAATGATCCAACGATGGATGTGAGTCAACTCTCCCTGTCCACCAATCCCAAATTCACCTGTTAATGTTCTCT